CCTTGGCCTTCCAAAGTCCTAGGATTATAGGCGTGAGCTAATATACCTGGCCTCAAAATATTCTTTATTTGGTTAAGGATAGTCCTTTCTATTTCTAGGTTACTAAGAGTAGTTTCCTTTTTTTTTTTTTTTTTCCAGTATTAGGAAGGGAATACTCAGTTTTTTTAAAGGGTTTGATTATATTGGTTAAAATGATCATATGGGCTTTCTCATTTGGTATGTTGCTGTGGAACATTATATTAACTGATCTTCTTTTTCTTATTTTTTTGTGTGTGTCAAATACTCAAGGAAGGGAAAAACTGGTCTTCTAATGTTAAAACCATTCTTGAATTTTTTGGATATCACTACTTGGTCTTGACATACAAACGCACACAAACATACACACTTTCATACATATTACTGGATTCTATTTGCTAGTATTTTTTTAAGTTTGTTGTCTATATTCAAAGTAAGACAGGCCTATAATTTTCTTTTCTCATACTGTCTTTCACTGGTTTTGGCATCCAAGTTATGCTAGTCTCCTCATACAATGAATTGGAGAATGTCACCTATTTTTAAATTCTGTGGAACAGTTTTTGTAAGGGTAGCATTATCCATTCCTCGAGTGTCCGGTAGAACTCACCTGTAACACTGTTTCTTTTTCCCCCCCCCAGGTAGATTTTAATCAACTGATTTATTTTCTTTTATAGTAATAACTGGTTTTAGTTTTTCTGTTTTCTCACGAATCAGTTTTTTTTTTATTTGGCTTTTTGAGAAATTGTCCATTTTATTTAAGATTTCAGATTTATCGATAGTTATTAATGATATTTCTTTAGAATATCTACTGTATCTGTAGCCTTTGAAAATCCTTAATATTGCCTTTGCATCTTCTCTTTTTAATTTGTTAAATCTTTCTAGAATTTTATTTTGTTGTATTTTCATCCCAATGAACCAGCTTTTGGTTAGGTTAATTTTCCTTACTATTTCTTTGTCTGTTTCATTAACATCTACTTTATCTTTATTATTGCTTTCATTTGACTTAATTTTAAACTTTTGTTTTTTATGATTCTTGTATTGAACGCTTAACTCCCAATCCAAAAATGGGTCTTATGCCTTATAGTGATATGGAGATGTAGTGGATCTAGGCAACCAGAGGGTGGCCTGGCACAATTTCTGGACCCCATAATGTGTGTGTATTCTCTTGTTTCTTTAGGCCCATGACTTTCTAATGGCTAATAGTCTCAAGGAGCAGTTGCCAGTGTTTATTTTCAACTTTCTTTCTTTGAAAAGGATGGAAGGAAAGCCCTTTTCCACTCCACTTCTTCATACATCTAATCTGGCTATGGTCCCTCCTCTTTTTCTTTGAAACCTAGTATTAATCTGTCTCTGGAGATGATTACTTCTCAGATAAATCAGATTTTTATTTATTAATCATACTTAAAATTTATCTAGCTCATTGTCAATTAGTCTTAAAATAGTCAATCTTAAAATAGTTTTTCAATTACAGACCATCTTAAAATAGTAGGTTTGCTTCAGTGAGGCAGATATGTCTTTCAGATTCATGCCGTTACTATCACTTTTTCTGCTTCATTAAACACTTTATAATTATTAACAAAGTTTTTGGAAAAAA